TTTCATGAGCTACATAGTATTCCTTAGGGGGGAATATACTATAACTTCCCCAGTTCCCTCCTGGTGAGCATTGCAACACTTTCTGCTGCAACTAATAAGCTGCCTATATAATTTAATATCCTAATGTAAGTGTTTCTGGAAGACGCAGTGCAAGAATTGAAGCTGCTATGTAAACAGGGATGATAGATGTAGATTTTTCTAGGTATTAATAAGTAGTCCAGGGCTGGAAAGATAGCTCAGTGGTCTAAGTGCCTGCCTGGTAAGCACAAAGATGTGGGTTCAATCCCCAGTACCACATGCCATGCCAGCCCCACGGCCCCAGATGCACCATGCCTGCCACCAAAACCAAGCATGGTGGAGCACACCTGTAATCCCAGCACTGGGGAAGCTTAGACAGGAAGATCATTATGAGTCCAAGCTGTGTAGAAAGACCCTGTACAAATACATAAAAACGATTTTTAAAAATTGGTAAGTAATCTACCAAACATATATAAAACATATGCAATTCTACTCATTCCTACTTACTGTATCATAATGCACTTTAAAATTAAAGCAGGCCTCTACTGAACAAACCTCAAGAAGCAAAGCTTACCAAAGAATTACAAAGTCTAAAGTGAGAGCAGGAACTAATATTTACCAAGTGCTTAAGTGACAAAGGCTGCACTTGACCCTTTGGATGTCTCAACAATACTGGAACATTAACTCCATTTTCTAAAAGAGGAAACTAAGGCTCAGAGTTCACCCAGTGTAATACAGCTTTACAAGTAACGAGACTAGTATTTGAATCCAGGGACAAATGGCACCCAAGCAAGACCATATAGAGCTGCCCCACTAGGTCCAAAGTAAGAGGCTTTCAAAAGCAGTGGGGGGAACTCCCAGTTCACCTGGAAGGTGTTCCAAAATATTTATTCACAGGCTCAAATGTTAATTTTATGTTACTACAAAAGTTTTACTTGGCCCTTTCAGACTCTACTTATAGGCCCACTCTTAGGCTGTGCTTAGCAATCTAGCTCCAACTCAGCAAGGGCAAAATGAGCCCATGACCCATAGAACCTAGAGGGGCTAATGTAGCTTTCAGAAAACTGATAGATAGCATGGAGGAAGAGACGCGAGAAGCAGGTGGTGGGCTAGTGTAGCACAGTCAGATATTTTGGTCCGGTGTCAGTTGTCACAAAAACATTATGAAGGAAGTAGAACTATTGTACACATGAAAGAGAACCACAATTAACCGACACAGTCTGTTTATGCCACCTTGCCTTGCCTCAAACACTTGCTATTTCTGCTCTACAGACATGCAAGCCTAGTGACTTTAAGATGGCACTTAATCACACACAAAGCCAGCTGAGAGCTCCCTGGTGTGACAAAACAGGTTATACTGGTATCAGGCTAGTGCTCTGCCCAGCCGCCTACAGATGGCTTGGCAGGGTCTGGGGGCTGCTTTCAACTTCCCAATAGAGTCAGGTACTTGACCACCTTCCCTCACAGCTGGCTTGGCCAGTTTTCAGGGAAGAATGTTTAGAACTGTCCCTTGGTGGTTGGAAAAGCTCCTCTCCATTCAAATGCTAAGCATTCACCATCACCATCCTCTCTTAAGGTCTTTAGCTCCTTTGCACTCAAGCAAGAACTCAGTATGGGGTCTATAGGGCCTACCACTCCGAAAAGAACATCAACTCTTTCCTGAGGACAATAGGGTAAAGAGAAGGAAGGAGAAAGAGGCAGAAAAATGCCTTCTCCTTTTCCTGTTTTATTTCCATCTCAGCCACAGGGGTCCTCCAGAAGTTCCATGTAGAATCAACAACTGAAAAGTCACTGAAAATTGATACTGTCACATAATGTGATTCAAATAGAAGTAGGCACAAATTAAGGCAATTGGTTTGAGGAACACCTTAAAATGCCATCATAAATAACACAAAAAGGAGGCATTAATGCATGATTAGTTGATTCCACTTCCATGATTCAAAAATCAAAAAGCACAAAAGGGTACATGGTGTACAGAAGTACAAAAGGGTACATAGTCCTATCTCATAGTCAGCTACCTGCTCTGCCTGAGGAAACCCATGTTACTGAGTCTATTGCATGTCCTTCTATGGATATTTTTTGGCTACATCAGCTTATGTATGGAGTTTTAAAATACTGAAGACACCCCACTCAGACTGACACATCACTTCAATATAAGAAGGTGGTAGAGGGCTGGGGGTACAGCTCAGTTGTACATCCCTTGCCTGGCATATGAAAAGTGCTGGGTCAGATCCCCAATACTATAAAAAGAAAAAAAAGTGGCAGAAACTAGATTTTCTTAAATTGTTTTCAAAATATATGGTTTTGAAATCCACAGTTAGACTCCTTCATTAATAACAATTTGCCAATATTTAAAAGTTAAATTGTTTGCCTCCATAAATTAAGTCAAATACCAAGCACACTATGGATACTTAACAGATGCTTATTTAGGTCTTTCTATCCTTTATTACTCAGAACCAAGAAGAAGATTACTCACTTCCTCTATTGATATTGAGAAAACCTAATTTTCCGCTTTTTAAAAAGAGAAGTTCTGAGAAATCTGTACAACATTCACTACATGTTCAAAGATGTGCTTGATATAGTAATCATTTCACATGATGTTTTAAATGTAGCAAGTATTAAAAAGATTGTCAAACTGAATTTTTTTACCAGAATCCCATCTCAATAATCTTTAGTATACTGAGAATAATTAGATTATCAAATGATATAAGAATTCAGGGGCTGGGGATATAGCTTAGCAGCCCAGCACCTGCATGGCAAACCCAAGGTCCTAGGTTCAATTCCTGATATCAAAAAAAAGAAAAAAAGAAAGAACTCAGAATGGGGAAGGGTGGTACAAAATTCAAGATATCCCTCAGGAAAAAAGAAATATGTCTTCTCAAAATTACAATCTACATCAAAACAGTATTCAGCATAACCTAAGACATCACATATTGACAAACTAAATGTCTTTATACCTTTAAAAGTAACACCACAAAAAAATAAATAAATAAATAAAAGTAACACCACAAAACAAAAATACACAATAAATAACACAAGCATTCTCTGAGATGATGTTACCTTTTCTGAATCAAGTAAACCTGAATTATAACATGATTGTCTACAAAATAAAACAGTACACAGGAGCATATACCTAATGACTAAAAGGTTGAGAAGAGTTTTAAAAGTACATATGAAGAAAGGAAAATTCCACTATCGTGTTTAAGCCTTAAGATATACGTAAGGGACCGAATTCTTAAAAACATATGAGCACTCCTCTGAAAATATACTTTTAAATCCCCCTTTATTTTCCACTCCCTTGAGCATGTATTTACAACCCTGTCAAGCTGACTTCTTTTATATTTCCTTTAAGGAGTTGAATCTGGGGTCTTTAAAATAAATATATTTCCATGACTATGTATATACATATAAAGGCAGACTTTATCTGCAACACAGCTTGAGCCAATCACTTGAAATTACAACGTGCTTCAATTTCCTACTCGATATCTACTTAGGAAACCTCCAGGCTTACCTGGCACTCTGGCATCAGGCATTTGATGCCAAATGACACAAACTACAGGGCTCAAGAACAGCCGGGTCTGGAAGCCGAAGTCTGTCTGTCCAAAGTCCTACAATTGTGATAACCAATTCTGTTTTAGACCTAGTTCTGTATCAATTCAAAATCTGGTAAGGCCAATATTTCCTCAGAACTGGAGGGCTCTTGACAGCACTTGCCCCTTATGTGGTTTGTTTGAAAAGGTCTAGTGGCCTTGAGCCCAGGCTGTCAGCAACCAAGCAACAACCAGAGAAGCAAGGCCAGAACCAAGGGTAATTTTCACATTACAGATTAAGGTGTCAGCTTTCCACTCTCTGTCAGGGAGCCCTGGATGGAAATTGAGTGGAGAGATCTTTCCAGTATAAGTGATGAAGTAAAATGCTCCCTCTTGGGAAGTCCTGACACGGTTCATCTCTTTCACCGGAGAATGCAAATAATGGGCTTTAGCACCACCGAATTAAACTCTAAAAGAGAACACATGGCTCTAGTTTGGAGGCATGGGGAAGTAAGAGGGAGCATCAAGGAGGAAGAGGGATGATTCATATTATTAATGACATTTGTGCTGACCACCATGCATGTAACACACTGTGTCTTATTAAATTCAGAAAAGGATGGTGGCATCATCCCATCCTTAACAACAAAAGAAAGCTGACTCCAAATAAAAACCACTACTTTTTCTCATCACACACTCAAAAATGTATGCTCAAAATCACTCCATGTTACCATTTTAGGAATACAAAAGCTCCTTCTCGCTTGAAGAAAGCAAGGAATCCAATACAACTTCCCACTAGAACGAACATAAGAGCAGGGCACCTACCTGTCTCCTATCTAGGCCTGACATTATGGTGCCACCACTCTGGCTCCTGGACCACGCTCACCTTTCACAGCACTCCACGCTCTTAGTTTCATTAACAACAGACTGTGGAATACAGATCTCAGAAGTGGGTGCCTACTTAGGCTGGCCATGGATGTGGCACTCGAGAGCATCAGTCACCCCATAACCAAGCTGAGACACCTTCAGCCCTTGTCCTCACCCTACTGTGGTCTATCCTATGGGGTAGCACGGCCCTCTGAGAAGTCACCCACTAGCAAGCACGCACGCACACTATCTGTGGAGCTGAACTGGGGGGGGCGGGGAGGGCGGCTCTTGGAGAGGGGTGCAATAGAGACAGAATGGGGCGGAAGGAACCGGGCTACCTCTGTGCCTTTCATTTTCCGGGGTGCTCTGTGAAGAAATGTCAAAATGGGGTGGAATTTTTTTTAACGGTTGTACAACGCCAAGAAACGCAGACAGTTGACCTTGGGAACCTACAGCATCGCAGAGAGAAACGAGAAATAGACGAAGCACGTTGGCAAGTAAAAGGGAAGCACAGCGCGGCGCTAGGAAGAGCGCAGCGGCCCCGCCGCCCGAAGGCTGCAGGAATGGGGGCGCGGGAGGGGTGCTCACCGTAGATCATGGCCAGTCCAGTCTCGTGCAGGAAGCGCACCCGGCGGTGCTTGAAGAGCCAGATGGTGAGGATGGTGAGGGTTAGTAGCAGGATGAAGGTGAGCAGGCTCACGCTGTCCTGCCGGTGGCTCTCCTCAGCCTCCTTCTCAGTTGCAAGCTCCTCCATGGCGCTACTGTCCTCAGCCGCCGCCCCAGCAGAGGAGGCCGCGGCCCCTGCACGCAGACCCCTACTCAGCAGCAACGGGAGCAACGGTAGGAGTAGCATCCGCGGCGGCAGCGCCCGGACAGCCCGCCACGGACCAGGGCGCACCGCGTCACCGGGCTCCATGGTCCCTGGGCCGCCCGTGCCTCGTCCGCTCGTGGAGCAGCAGCCCGCGCCGTCGGCGGATCCCCGCTGCGCCGCCGACCTGCTCTAGGGGCCGCGGCGCCGCAGCTCCTCCTCCCGCTCGCGCCCGGCTGGGGCTGCGCCGGGAGCTGCGCGGGGGAGGGGCGCGCGCAGTGCGCAGGATCCCCAAGCACCGCCCCCCGCCCGCGCACCTGTTAGTCTCCCCAGCAGCGCGTGCCACGCTGCTTGCGGACCGAGCGGCCCAGACGGAGCCAGTTGTCGCTCTCGGGTATGCTGGCTATCCCGCTGTCAGCCCTTTGCGTTTCTGCGCTTCTCACCCAGGACAGGGGTACCTGGCCAGAGCGTCTGGAATCTCAGAGCCAGTTCCTGAGCAGCCACTGCGGTGCTGCCTAACGGGGACGGCAGAGGTCGCCCGCTCCTGCAGGGAGCATCAGCTTAGATTCGCTCTCTGAGCGATCTCGAGTCCTGACTGGAGCCACTGAGAAGAGTTTCATCTCAAGCCAGAAATGTAACTGCCCTGAGCCCAGTAAAGTGGGGCCTTGAGGGATCCAAGGAGCCATGAAGCCACTGTTAGCCTCTGCACCTCTTATTTTGTTGTTTTGTTTTGTTTTCATCTCGCAGATGACCTTGCATCTTGTGGGACTCTCATTATCTCCTAGGCTTCGTTCAAACCTCTGCTTGTAGTCTGGCTCAATTCGAGGACAGAGAAGGGGTTGGATTCGAATAGAATGGCTTCTTTTTGATATTTTATTTATTTATGTATTTAGTACAGGGTCTCACTACATAGATAGGACTTGTAGTGATCCACCTGTTTACAGCCTCCCAAGTGCTGGGATTACAGGCATGGGCCACCATGCCCTGTTTCAGTGGATGGCTCTGTGTGGGGCTGGCACGGCATACTGTACCAGGGATCAAACTCAGGTCCTTGCACTTGCCAGCCAGGACCTTAGACCACAGAGCTATCTCCCATCCCTAGAATGGTTTTTTATATTTTTTGTTTGCTTTTTATTTTTCCTACATGAATATAACTTATTGTGATCATATTGCCCATTTCTCTCCCTACATGTCCTCTCCCTTCTCCATATCCCCCTCTCTTACACTGGCTCCTGGATCATTCAACCAAGCCCCTTGGGAAAGAGGGTTGAACCAGAAGGTACTGAGCATTTGCCATTCAGACAAATGAGCACCAAGTGGCCCTAAAGCAGGATCAGTAGAGGGTGTGGAGGCGATTACCTTGACGACCCGTTTATGTTGCCTTCCTAGTACCCAGAAAGCCTTGGGTTGAATCTTTTTTTAATTGACTGTACTGGAACATTTTACATACACATAGTGATCGCAATTATCATAGAAAATTTGTACCTATACATAATACATCTTGATTCTTCTTTTCCCCATCCCCTCCCTTCAACTCTTTTTCCTTTCCTTATTTACAAAGCTTTGTTTTCTTTTCTTCCACCAAGCCCAATTTAATAGAAATATGACACTGACTCTAAAAGATGAAGCCTCCTGGAATATATCTTAGGAACTAGAATTTTCAACGCACACATTGCTCTTTTAGTAACAAGAAGAAGAAGAAGAAGAAGAAGAAGAAGAAGAAGAAGAAGAAGAAGAAGAAGAAGAAGAAGAAGAAGAAGAAAATAACTGAATTCATAGTGCTTAGCACTATGTTCTTAAGTGTTTATTTAATCATTCTGAAATCCCTACCAACTATGCATTCTCTCTCTCCCAGAAAGAGTGCATTTCTAAGAGGACTCATTGAAGAAGGCTGGAGAGCTGTTCAGAGAATTGCTAATCTTCCTGTTCTTTTCTAGGTAAACATTCTACTATGATTGCTCAGGGCTTTCTTTACAGTGGCAAAATCTTTCATTTAGATTTTAGACAGTGTCTTTCTCTATGCCCCACTCCAACCTCAGGCTGTTACCCTGTTCCTGCCAAGAGAAAAAGTCCATGTTAGATTTGAAATCTGCCAAGTTCCAATGAACAAACATCAAAAATCTGTCAGATCACAGAGAAAGTTATACAACAATGGTGAAATTTGATCTAATTTCAGAAGAATCACTAAAATTCATGTTTGCTAAAAATTGGTCATATTAATCATAATATTAGAACCTTTTGAATTCCCAGAAGTCAAGGAAAAAAGTTCTGTAGCTCACAGTGCCAGCAATGAAGGAGGCTTCTTACTGAGCATGGTAGTGTACACTTGTAATCTCACCACTCAGGAAACTGAGACAGGAGGATAATGGAGAGTTTAGGCCATCGAGAGCTAAATAGTGAGTGCAAGACCAACCTGAACTACATATGGAGACCCTGTATCAAAAAGAAAAAAAA